CTGTTGTGGGACATGAACCGCTGCTGGTACCCAAGCTGATTTGGGTGGTGCCTGGCCAGGGAGAGTCATCACATCAAAACACAGCGTGAGAGAGTCATTCCCTTCTCAGTTTTACTGTCATCTCTTCCAATCCCATCACAGAGACAGACTGGGGTGGCCCTGGTAAGTCCCTCCCCTCTACCTCTTGCTCCTAACAAGGAGAAAGCAGGCGTCAGCTCTGCGTTTTAGCGTGACAGCTGCAGCCGGTTAGAATTCAATGGCATTGTTTCATCTTCTTTGATTTTCCCATTTATAGTAGTGATGGTTTCCTTTAAAAATATATCTATCTAGGTAGACAAAAAGTGAGTCTGTTCAACAAAAGTATTAAGAAACTAGTCTGGGCTTTGGCAAAATTTCTGAAGATGGATTCATTCATGACTAAAGTTTTGAAAGCACTGAGCTAGTGGGTTGCCATCTAGCAAGACTTGATCCTTCTGGTGTTGGAAAGAAAAGCTCCGGGGATTGTTGAAGGAGCCTCCAGATGGGAGTGGCTTTTCCTCCTGCCTGAAACTGGAGTCTGAGGCCACTGTCCCCCTGGACACCTTCCATTCCACATTGAGAGTCCCAGTCGTTTCGGGGTAGAGCCCGGCATGGCAACCTCTAACACAGTGGTTATGAGCATGGAACTGGCATCAGGCAGACCTGGGTTTGAATCCCAGCTCTGTAACCTCGCAGGCGGGCCATTTGCACAGATTACTTAATTTCTGTAAAGCTTAGTTTCTTATCTGTAAAATGAGGATAACAGTGGTCCTTAACTCATAGGGCTGTTGGGAAGCTTTACATGAGATAATAAGCATACAATACCTGACATATGGTAAAAATTTGATAAACTTAATAAATACTTGCTGCTATGATTATGATTAGCCACTGTTGTCAATGAGTTTGAATTTTTTTTTTTCAAATTATTAAGTGATTGAGGGGAGCTCACTCAGCACAAACTCTTCCTCGAATTTGTTCATCAGGTCACAAGCACGTCACACCAACCCCCTCCCCTCATTTTTCCTGGGATCTTTGCCAAGTCCTAAGCCAGGAAACCTTGTTATATTAATTATGAAGAAAAAGCATGTTTTATTTAAAATCCCGGCTGCCGAATATTCTGCCATGCTGTTTCTCTGTGACAGCAGAATTGCTTTTGCATTTAGGAAACTCTAATGAATTGAAAATATAAATATATCTGTGCCTACATACACATGCGATTTCCTGCGACCTGATTTCCCTAAATACCAGTGTACACCGCCAAAGCTAATGAGATGGACTTGTGCTTAGGACCAGGTTTCTTAAAAATCTATAAGAACATGCAGTGCAATTCAGTCCCTCTCTTTTCCAGAAGACTCTGAATGGGTTACAGCAAGAGGAAGTGATGTCTCCTAGGCCTGAAAGAGACTCTGACATTCCAAAGCATCAACACTTTGAAAAAGGTGGTTCGTGTTATCCCATCCATGGCCTTGTTTGGTCCTGGGGGCCAGGTAGATGTGGATGCTTGAATTAATCAGACACTGAGCCCTGTTACCTGACCATCCAAAATTGGCTCTAATCCCTCAGCCTCCACAGGGTTGCTAAACAATAGCCGGACAAGCAGGCTCTCTCTCCATTTCTTTCTCTTTCTGCCTCTCTCTTTCCAAGGTAGAATGAGGTAGATAGTGTACACCTGTCAAGTAGAGAGGGTGTCAGAAAGAGAGGGTGCTGGGGCCTGCGGGATCTGGGAGGCTTCAGCTTCTAATATAAGCTTCTAATTCAGCTTCTAATAAGCAATAGTTCCTTCTCCCCTTTGTGCCATGCAAGAATGGGAGCCTGTGTCACTAGAATGCCTGATTTTCAAGAAAAGCTGGGGATCTGTATTGTTATGTGAAATGTCTGATTCTCAGATGTCACCAGGCAATTGAAAGGAAATGAAAATACTCTTCAGGCTGAACTCCTACCCACCAAATAAAACTCGGGCTGTGAGCAGGATGTACCCCAAGCTGCCAATTTGCCACCTCTGGTCTGTGCAGACATTTTGGTGACTCTCTATCTAGGAGGATTCTGGAGTTCTAGAGTTCCTGGACTCTAAACTCTAGGGTTTAAAAAGCTTAGAAATGGGAGCAAACATGCATTTTAATTGTAAGGCCGCTGTTGCGCATGGGCTGAAATAAGCAGGGCGGGCCCGACAAGCTTGTCCTCTGGCTTATGACCCTAGAAGAGGTCAAACTACATTATGGCTGAGGCCAGTGGCACCTCAAATCACCCTAAGAACCACAGCAAGAAGAGATGTCCAAGCCCTGGGGACGGGGCACATACAGTTGAGCGGGCCTCCTGTGATGGACAAGGAATTGGACGGAGCTGGGTCTTTGTCCTGCCTGGGAAGTTAGTTCAACGTCTTTGGGCTTGTTTCTCCTTCAAAAAATGGGAATAACAATACAAGACTGTGCTGGGGACAGGTGTTCAAAACTGACAGGTAAGGAGAACAAATCCAGACCAGACCAGGAAGGAACTAAGAGGATTCCCTGGAATCCATGACAACTATATTTGACTGCACTTTTTTGGATCGTGGATATCTGAATGAAAACCTAAGTTAAAGACGAGCCTACAGAGAAGTCTTCATAATTTTTGTTGCATGATCTGAGCTCATGGGAGGGTCTCCAGGCACCTTTCCAATGGGCAGCAATCAGAGACCCTTTGCTTTAAAGTTTCAGAGGCACATGGAATCTGTTACACTCCACCCAGGAAAGAGGCCCCTGGTCTAAGAGCCTCCCATCCCTACAGGAAGGACAATGCCCTGAAGGTATATGGACCAAAGAAGTCTCATCCTTAGCCAGGGCCCCAGGCAAGAGGCCTTATCCAGACAGATGGACACCAGCCATAGTCTAGGACTCAGCTCTGCCACCTCCAAGCTCTGTGACCTGAGGACACATTACCCAGCTCCTGATCTGTAAACTGAGATCAGGAACAGTACCTATTTCTTAGGGTCCTTCTGGAGGACCCAAAGACCAAGGCATCAAAAGCACAGAGTCTGGCACACAGGAGTTTTCATCAAATGGTAGCAGTTGGTTATTATTTTTAGCTACATGGGGCAGGAGAGGCCACCCTGTCCATCGGGCTATGTGGCCCCTTCCTTCCTGGTGTTGCCTCAAACTCTCTAGACATCTGAGTGAACTAGCCACTTTCCCCTGGATGTCTGTGTACTGGCCTATGGGACACAAGCCTTCCCGCCCACCTGTCTGGCACACATCTGGAGTAAGAAAACATTCCAAAGCCCTGAATCCCCTCTTTGGAATTGACTAATCTCATTGCCTAAAGGCTATCTCTCGTATTTTCTCTTTTATCCATTATTGACTTATATTTTCATCGCTAACCCTAAAATTTCACTGGGGCTTGCAAAGAAGGGATTTGGGGCAAGCATTACCTTTTGGTGAATTTCAAACAGACTGCATCCACTCTCTTCCTTGCCTGCAAACTTTAGGATCTGATTCTTTCTGACTGGTACTTTCTCCGGGTCCCTTGTGAACCTCTGATAGTTTCCATCGCTTTTCTCTAGACTTGCGGTATTTCTGCAGGATCTTGGCCCCAGACATCCAACAACAATCAGCGATGTAGGGGGTTTGATAACAACCGGTCATTGTAGCCACACACCACACACACACACACACACACACACACACACACACGCACGCACGTCATCTCTGGAAAAGAAAACTCTTCCAGAGGTGAGTCATTGCCAGCTTAATATGGAACTAAGGTAGATGTCTGAGTACAATTGACCAAAAGGGGAGGAGAAGCTGTTGTTTTTAAAGCGTGCTAATCAGAAAACCTGGAATTTAATCTGCTGCCTGCAGGAAAATCTCTATGGAGTGAAATGGAAAATAAGATACAAAGGTATTTAATGAGATAAATAGGTTATGACTGTTATTTCAGTTCTCACCCCTTTCTTGTTCTCTATTCAAACCCCCTCCACTCCAACAAAGGGGCGCATTCTCTGATTTTTATAGAGAACTCGTATTCACTTTGGAAATCTCAAGGGAAAAGAGCTAACATTTATTGAAAGCCACATACATTGCCCCATTTAATCGGTCTCGACCCTCCCCAAATCTGGGGGAGATTATCACTAGGTTTGCAGTAGAGGAAGCTGAGGCTCACAGAGATGATGTCACTTGTTACTTGTTCCACAGCTAGAAGGCAGCAAAGCTGAGATTCAAACCCTGGCTCCCAAGCCCACACTCACGCCTCCGACCCAACCAAGAGGCGCGAGGTCTGGTGAAGGCCCTCTCTCACATGTCCGCAGAGACCCAGCTAACACTCTTGGACCACAACAGCACACAGCAGGAGCCGACACCGCCACAACCCACCTGCTCCCGGATGTCTTGAGTCCCCCACGTGAGAACCCCTGATGTCCCTTTCCTTCCATTCTCACCATGACCTTCCTGGGGCCCCTGCTCCTCTCTGACCCATTCACTACAGCCACGGTTACAGGGTGATGGGAGAAAAAGTGCTGCCCACAAAGCTTCTCTCCAAATCTAATCCATCTAAGTGAACCTGTTGCCAGCAGGATTCTCCTCTAGAGCCAAAGCACAGGGATGCTTACCCTAGTGTCACCTGAAGTAGCTGGAGGACGTGGTATGTGTGTTGGCACGTACAGAGAGAGAGCTTGTAGCTTTCGGCAGCTTCCCAGAGGGATCTCTGAGATCCACGCCAGATCACAACACACTGCCTTAGCAGAGTTTCTTGCTCTGATCTCCTTAGTTGGAAGGTGTTCGTGGAGACTCTGCTCCAAGAGGGCTCATGTCAATTGCATGGCTTCATGGAACTGGCCCCTTAACAGCAACCAACATGCCAGGCCTGCATGAGCCCTTGAAATCAGGACATATTCCACCTGGCGGCACCAGCCTTTCACGACTAAAGTTTCTCATCACTCCTGGCCCAGCTGGTTTGGTCCTCCTAATAACCTCAGAGTCTCTCAACTACAGATATTTGAAAAGAACACTTACCCCGAAGGCTGTCTTTCCCGCCAGAAACATTAACAGCAGAACATGGAGATCAGACATTCTGGCAAACATCTTTGTAGTGTAAGAACTCTTGTTTTGCTCTAAAAACAATTTCTTTTGTTGTCTGTGCCTTGAGGGGGGAAAGTGTCAGTCTCCAAGGATTCAGGAACAAATGAAGAGGATGCAAATTATTAACTAGGCGTCAAATACTGTTTAATGTTTAATGTTTTGCAAACCAACTATCTTGATTAAACAAATGGTAACTTTGGGGCTGGGCTGAGCCATGGGGGTGGTTTGTTTTCTGGAGAGAAAGCAGCAAAGTGCCCCTGGCTCCTGGGGTTGGGGGTGAGGGGGTAGCTGCTGAGTGTTCAGCGCAGAAGGCCTGATGGTTCCCTGGCATCCCAGCCACAGGGTGAGAGCCCTAATAGGGTGAAACTCCTGCCATAGGCCTCTGACATTGCCGATTTGAACAGAATGTTAATAGAGTTCGGATTCATCAAATCTCAAACAGAATTAAGGCATGGATGGGCTCCTAATAACATCACGCTTTACATTCATGAAAAATAAATTAAAGGAGGCAAAACTGCTATTGACAAACATTGATTCTGGGCCCTTTGAAGCATGGCCCATGGTTGCTTGTTGGCTTCAAAAGTTTTCTTTTAAATTTCATTACATAAGGTTTTAACTTTTTAATTAGTTTTTTTTTTTCTCCTTTCATTGGAGTCTTTCTTTGATCAAGAGCAGGAAAAAAACCCAGGGTGTTCATATTCGGGGCCAATTGTTTCCTGCGTTCCTTTTATAGCTGCGCTGGTTACAGGTAGCAATGTGTAGAGCAACAGTTACCTGTGAAGTGTGGGTGCTCGTGGATACAACTGATCTCTTTAATAGGCATCACTGTGAGCTCCCGTCAACACCTCACTGCCCACAATAATCTATGCAAGGGCTCCAGGAATCGTCTCACCTGAGTCCTAAATCCAGGTTCTGAAACCCTGCTGCCGACTGAGGCGGGTGCTCACCTGGGCCCCCTGTTCACCCATTTGCCATCCCTACTTGGCACGTGTACTTGGACTCCTCAGTGGCTGCTTCCACCTTTGGAGGTCAGGTTGCTGGTCATGAACGGCCCCAAAGGTACCAGCCCAGGAGAAGGCCAGAGTCAGTGCCCCAGCCACCAGATAGACAACCCTTGAAGGACAAACCAAGTCCTGCCACTTTACCTCCTAAATTACCCCCAATCTGTCCTTTGTTCTCCAATTTTTTTTTGTCTCCACCCTCATTTAGGCAGTCGTCAACTCACTCTTGGTCCACATCCATCTGATCCCTATAATACAGGCACACTTTTCTGGAAAAGTTCTTCTCTAACCTTCCTCTATTCTTCCCCTTATCCTTATTCCACCCCTAACTCTGTTCCTAACTCTAACCCTGATCACTCTTTAGCAAGTTCATTTAGATAGCCACCTAGTTAATCCATCTTTCGGATTTCAACCCAAACATTACTTCCTCAGAAGCCCTGCCTGAGTTTTTCCTTCATGGCACTCATCAGGGTTGTAAGTGCATAGCTGTATAGCTCTTCCATTAATATCTGTTTCCCCACTGCCCCCGATGGACCAAAAGCTCATGAGGTGGGCGCTCTGTTTCGCTCACCATTGAATTCTCGGCAGGGATGCCTGGCACATGGCTGGCTCATGATAGGTGTTCAATAAATACATCGTGAATGAATGAGCAAAGGAATAACCACTGTCTCACAGTGATAGTTGGATACTTTGTAACCTGGGCGCCTTAGATAGCATAGCCAACTCAATGTGAAAAGGAAAACTGGGTACGGAAAGCTAAAGTATTTGTGCACTTGTAAACTCCCTTCAGTTTATTCATGAACACTACATGAATATTGATTGATTATCCACTGATGATCTGCTGTGAGCCTGGCATTGGCAACACCAGGATGGAGGAGGTGGACGTGAACTTTGCTCTTAAGGAACGTGCATTCTGGTCGAGGGGGAGTTAGGCGGACCATGAAAGAGTAAAGAAGTTAATTTTAGTTAGTGATAAGTCTGAAAAAGAATGAAGCAAGGTGATGGAACAGAAATCCTTGTGAGCGGGAGGCTTCCGTAGACTAGGAGGTGGTGAAAGTGGGGATAGTGGCTAAGTGGGTCCTTGGTGGGGCGCTGACACCATCGCTGGTTATCTGGTCATAGAGCAAGGGTCACAGAGACAGCGTGCACGAAGATGTTGCTATTTTCCAGATTCAAAGCTGGAGCCCTCGTAGCATCTGCTCAGGCTGTAAAAAGTGGAAATGGAAATTCCAGGCAAGTCAAATCACTGAATCAGCCATGTGACTTAGGCATCTCTTTTAGCTTCCAAAGCCTTGTGTGAACTAGTGACTGTCTAACTTTGTGGAGAGATTCCCAGAAAACAAATCAGAAGCTTTTCTTCCTGCGTGAACAGGAAGTGACCCGGTGAGTTTGTTGTTCTCCTTTAGAATCCGGATTCATTTCCCTGACGTGTAATCTTCCCTCTATCTCTAGCAAAAAGTGAACACTTGTGCTCTTTGTGTAGTAGCCACAGGTCTCTCACATATTGTCTTATGTCCCTAAAGTTTTATTATCATGACAATGTGCAATTGAATAAACGTCTGCACGTAGCCCGAAAAGAGAGAATTCTCTAAAAGATGCTTAATCCTTTTAATTTGTAAGGACAAAAGACTAGTTTATCATGTGATATGGTTTTATCTGGGGAGTTAGAACAAACCTACCTGGGATCTCTGTTTTTTAAATCCAAACACGGAGACTTCAGCCCTCACCCCAGCGGGGGTTTCAGATGTGATCAAGTCAATCTATTCTCTTGAGCTCTGGGAGACTTTTTCTCATGTGTAGGGTTACATGCTGCAGGAGAGAGACTCTGTCCTGCCTCAGGAGGCCTTGGGACTCAAGTTCTCCAGCAGGCTGATTCTTCCACCCTAAGGGAAGAGTCTCTCACAATGTCCTTGCTGGAGACCCAGGCTTTGATGTACTGGGTCACATGACATCTGTTGGGCCTGGACCAACCTGCTTCATGTTTATTGCTTATAACAGGTTACAGAAGAACTTGAATGAACTTTTGGCCAACCCAATAACAACAGTCCTCTTCTTGCTAGGCCTTCCGTACGGGAAGGTAGCAGAGGGGAGGGCCTAGGAACAGCAGCCCAGACTCAGAACTGACCTGGGGTGAGCCCCGGCTCCACCACATCCCTGCTGTGGATAGCTGGTCAATCGTTTACTCTCTCTGAGTCTTGGTTTCCTTGTCTGCAAAATAGAGATGCTGTGGTTCCCACTTCATGGCGTTACCTCGAGGTGTATGTGAGAACATAAAGGCGAGGGGCTAAGTACAGCAGCTGGTGTGGAGCCGACTTTGCAAAACACACTGGCTTTGGTATCAGGGATGGTATTTCCTGAGCCCCCAGACCCTCACAGATGAAAGTACCTGTGTTCAGTGAGTCTAATCTCCAATCCAGGAACAGAATGACTGCCTTCTTGGGGGGACCCTTGCCTCACTTGTTCTCTCTAGAACAGGGGTCAACAGACGTCTGAAAGTGCCAGGTAATAAAAATTTTAGTTTTTTTCTGGCCCTCCAGTGTATGTTGTGAGTCCTCAATCCTGCCATTTTAACACAAAAGCAGCCACAGCTAATACATTGGGCACTCCATATCCACGCTTCTGCATCCGCAGATTCAACCAACCACGGATCAAAAATGTTTTTTGAAAAGTTCTAGAAAGTTCCAAAGAGCAAAACTTGAATCTGCTGCATGCTGGCAACTATTTACGTAGCATTTACAACTATTTATATAGCATTTACTTTGTATTAGATATTATAAGTAATCTAGAGATGATTTAGAGCATACAGGAGGATGTGGTGTAGGCTTTATGCAAATACGACACCATTTTATACAAGGTACTTGAGCATCCAGGGATCGTGGTATCTGCGGAGGGTCCTAGAACCAATACTCCCCAGACGCTGAGAGATGACAGTACTTACGCCAATGGCCTTGGCTATGTTCCAACAAAACCGTATTTGCAGAAAGAGGGCCATAGTTTGTGGATCACTACTCAAGGAGAGAGAGCTGCAGATGTAGCCAGAGCATCGTGCAACTTGAGGGGCCCTGGAAAACAATGGAGACACATTGGGGAACACGGGAGGAGCCCCTGGGCTGATGATGTTGCTGCCCTCAGAGTGTTTACCCAGAAACTATGCCCTCCAAACCCCAGAATCATCAGAACTTCTTTGTGTGGTGGGGGGACTAAAGATCTTTCGTCATTCTTTCTACAAGGATTTATTGAGCACCTACTACGTGCCAGACGGTGCTGTTGGGAATACAGATGACAGACTAGGTGCCAGCCTCATGGAGTTACCTTCCCATGATGATCCTCACTCAGCGTCACATGGCTGGTCTTTGGCTAAATTGTTCAAGCCATCCCTAATCAGAGATGACAACATTGTAGGGACATGTCACTGCTCCTTCCCGTTGTTCCCAGAGACCTCTGCCTGAGCCATTCACTTCCAGGGGCACCCTCTTTTGGGGGGAAGGGGAGATGGCTTGCTAACTTGGCGTGGGGCAGTAACCTTTCCCCAGTCTACCTCACACACACCCCCCACCAACCCAGCATGGTTCAGTATGCTCAGATCCATGGTACCACACGCCCCAGTCTCTGACCTGGAAGATACTAGGGTGCCCCTCACCCCATGTTTGTGAAAAGAAACCAGCATTTATGGCGCAGCTTCTGTGTTCCAGGTGCTTTGACAATTCTGAGCTCGTACAGTCTTTGCAACGACCCTGAAAGGTGATTTGGCTCATTTAACAGATAAAGAAACTCAGAGGCTCAGAGAGGTTAAGTAAATTGCCCAAGGTCACAGAGCTTGAGACAGAGCCAGGTTTGAAGCTCTTCCTACTCTACTGCATGGACTCGAGAGCCTTGGGGTGGTGGTTTTGCCCTTTACCCTAAGCCACCTAAGAACTATTGAAGGAAACAACTTGTCTAAAAGCAAAGATTGCCCATCGCCTGACCAATTTCCCTGTTCTCATCTTCCTTACTATCACTTATTCTTAGGGGTGGCAATGTGCCCAGTGTTTACAGAAATCGTGTCCTCCAGCAACCGCAGCCACTTGTTTTAGGCTGGGTTTCCTGGGAAACAGAGATGCTG